TAGATTAGAATTTCGCGATCAACAAAATTTGTTTATTTATTTATTTTGTTTTGTACATGTCAATGTGGTTATATGTCAGAAATTAATTTATATAATTAAGAGACTAAGAACAATTTTTCAACGGGTATATCTTTATCGTAAACTGGGTTTGATATTTTTTCAGCGACAGTCATTTATCATTTAAATAATTGAGAGAGTAAGGAAAATTTTGTGACGAGCGTATTATTATTTTTAAAGGAATTTTGATAGTTTAATTTGGTATCATCAGAAAGGTCGAGACAAGAATTAGTGCCTTTTCTCGGTTTTATATATTTTTCAGTGATAGTCAATTTTTTATGTCAAGTTTTTGGAGGAGTTTTTAATAGTTTTTTGGTTCTATAAATTTATTCCGTCACATTTGTCCATTAAATTATTTGTAATTGATCCTGAGATAGCGCTATTATTTTTAAAATTTATTTGAAAAGTACCCAAAATATTTATAGTGTCATAAATATAAAAAACTTATTGAGCAAAAATTTTCTTATTCATAATCCGGGAATCTCGGCAGTCGCGTAGCGACTGCTGGTTGCTAGTATTAATCTCATGCTTCGAATTATGAGTCGTGCAAAAATATTTTTTCCATAATTTTTTAAGCCTTAAACTAATTTTTATTTTTTTTACTAAAAACTTTCAAAAATTTTTAGCAAATTCAAGTTAGTTAAGTCATTCAACATTATATAAAAGGTCAAAAAATTCAAACAATTAGTCTTCAATAACTCAATTTATTCAACAAATACCACTTACAATCTTTACATCAATTAATTAAATTATCTCGCTTAATACAATAATAAATTTTGTATGAATTACTAACCTAACTTTGCGCACGGTGAGTCACGAATGTCACAGTAAGTTTACCATTAGAGTACATCAAAGATAATGGCTTTGATAGATCTATTTCCAAATTCTCCGGATTGTTGTCTTGATAATCGGAAAACTGCGATTGAATAACGGTGGTTCCAGCGCCTGTCAGAATGAGGTAGAAAGACGCTATAATTGTGCCGTCAGTAGACTCCATAGTATTTAGTTCCTTCATTTCATTTATTCGCCACTCTAAGGGAATTCGAATTTGGGCATTCCAAGCATTGATATGCCTGCTAAGATATGGCGTCAAGTACCAAGAACTTCGATTGTCCATCAGTACCAAAAGAGAATCAATGTAATAATCAGTGTCTCTGGACGGATTGTCAACAGGATTGATGAATTTAGCTACCCAGTCGGTCGGAAAACTTTCAACATCACTCTTGTAAAAGGTACTTAGACTGTCAATTCCGCTTGAGTTTACATAGTACAATGTGATGTCTGATCCTGTTAGTGATAATAATGAAACCTCAGAAGCCGGTTTCCCTACCGCCATACTTACGACCAAAGCTGCGAACTGACCAATTTTAAGTAATAATTAGTACCAAATTTTATTATCACTATTATATTAATATTATATTATATTAATATTAATATATTAATATTATTATATTAATATTAATAATTTTAAAGAGAACTATAGTTGTATTATTTCAAGAAATTCTTGTCTTGAATTCATACTTCTTGGAGTGAGAGATTTAATCACTCCGATCGATAACATTATTACGAGGTTCAAGACTATATTATCGTCGATCGATACACGGAAAAAAGTAAACTGTAATATTCACTCGAATTCCGGTTAATTTGTTATAGTTTCAAACAGTAAAGCGGACCATGGGGGTGGCAAAAATATAAATATTACAGAACTTAATGTAGAAAGTATAAAAGCCACAGTTTATAATTTAATATCCAAAATAAGTGATTAGTAGCTGTCACTATAGTAAATAACGACTCTTTTATCTTAAAAAATTACAGTTTCAAACAGTAAAAATTGCCATTTCAATATATAGTCCATATTATTAGGAGAAGGGGAACTCAGATGAAGAGAAAAGGGTCTCACTCTGGGAGAATTTATCATTTGAAACAGTAAAAATTATACTTTTAAAATATACATTCTACCAGTCCAGTGTTACGTCCGGGTGACGATAACACAATTAATTAATCAGTTCCTTAAATTTGAGACTAATCACCGAAGATTATATGTCTCGGGAGGCGGGAACCGCGCCTATAGGTAAATGCACGCGGGTTTTTATTTGACAATGGATTCACGAATTTATAATGACTTTGGGGAATCCCGGCCCTATTGGGGTATCCCTGTTGGGGTAGGTCGGGGCACAAGCGAAAGAGAAGGCTAATGAGTTTGTATGGGATAGAACTGAGAGAGAGTTATAACTGTATGAGTGAAATACCGTGTTGTTGTTGGGTCCTGCTCCAGGTACCTGAGCGTCAGAAATACTAGGATTGCTGACCGACAGTAATGACTGGCGGCTAATTAAGTAAATGGTTAAAATAATTAATTAAGGTATTTATTAATGAATCCGCAATATTTAAGCAACTTACGATTGTTTATTGTGATAATTTTTGAATACAGAAATAGCTATCGGTGATTGATTGGTTGGAATTCAGACATTAATTATTTACTGATTAAAATTTTGAAAGACACTGAACTACTGATCACACCCGCGGTTATAGGAAGCACTAGTACTTCTCGGTTGCCGTGGCTGGGTTTTTATACGCTCACAAGTCCCTCCTCATTTAAAATTTTAATAACCCTTAGTATAAAATGTTGATGTATTTCTCTATATGCCGAAAAATATTTATTAGTACAGAGAATAGCAAAAATACTAAAATTTATATGTTTAAAACAAGTAAAATAATATGTTAATTTTCGAGTCGCGCCATACTTGGAACAAGTCTGTAATATCTTGAACCAATGTTACCGTCTGTCTTAATTCAAGAGAAAGAAATTCTTGGGCGAAGTTGTATATATCTTATTTAAAAACAACCAAGTTTCTTGATTCGAGAATCAATTTCTTAATTTAAAAGAATTGAATTATTTAAAACAAGAATGACATTTTAAAGAAAAAGTTACTCTTGAGTCAAGTCATTTATTATCAGTGTAGACTTACCAAAAAGGAGAACGCAAAATTCATCTTGATACTTAGTCAGACGAAACAAAACTTATTCTATAGTCAGTTTCGGGCAACTTTTATACCATCAAATATCAAAGGAACATCAAATTGTCGTTTTGGATTTTTCCATCATGAGTCATTTCTGACAACTCCGCAATAACCATTAAATTATTAAATTAATTACTAAAAAATCTCAAGGTCTTCCTTTGTGTTCAATGTTTTTAAAGGTGTTCTGTGAATATTTTTTAGTTTTATCTTATCTTATTTTTGATACACTTATTTAGAAACTAATGCGAAAGATAGAGATAGGTAATTAATTATTAATTGGAATTTTAATTTTGTATTTTTTACTTTTTGAAATTCGAATTAAAAAATTTTTCACAATCATTAAATTGATCCTATAATTTCTAGTGTATAAAATAACGCAATTATTAATTATATTTATGAAAATTAAATACACTTTTCACAGAAATTAAGGAAGCAAAAAATGAAATTTTTTAACAATTTTGAACCCCCTTTTTTTGGCTAACGATGTCTTAGAAACTTAGCGTAGAAGTACTGATGTTGGCTATCTTAGAACTATTTTTGGCCACTTGATATTTTAGTTAATTTGTAAAAATTCTATTCAAGTAAAATTTTTATAGAATTTATGAATAAGTATATTTATACGAATTGAATCTATATAGCTTTGCGCTTATAGAAATATTTGTACAATAATTTGAAAATAAAGTGGCCAAAAAAGGTAAATTTTGAACGGGTTAACCGATTTCATCGCGGTTGACGCCATTCGATAGAGCTTGACCAAATTTGAATTTTCAATACAGTTTAATTTTACAGATTAATTTATTTATCTATTGCTTGTATAAAAACAGTTAAAAATGATTATCTTTTCAATATTATTTAAGTACTAAGGACATTTTAAAGAAAAAGTTAATCTTGAGTCGTCATTTATTATCAGTGTATATAGACTTACCAAAAAGGAGAGCGCCAAATTCATCTTGATACTTTGTTAGACGAAACAAAACTTATTCTATAGTCAGTTTCGGGCAACTTTTATACCATCAAATATCAAAGGAACATCAAATTGTCGTTTTGGATTTTTCCATCATAAGTCATTTCTGACAATTTCAATAACCATTAAATTATTAAATTAATTACTAAAAAATCTCAAGGTCTTCCTTTGTGTTCAATGTTTTTAAAGGCGTTCTGTGAATGTTTTTTAGTTTTATCTTATCTTATTTTTGATACACTTATTTAGAAACTAATACGAAAGATAGAGATAGGTAATTAATTAGCTAACTGCTTATTTTTTAGAGGGTGGTTTTTTAACTTTTTGATGTAGCAATAATTCAATTATAAATTATTTGAATAATTCAAACCTAAAAATCATATCTCTAGTAGATAATAATGATATGAAATGCTTTTTTAAAATGATAATAAATTTTTAACTAATTGTTTTTTTCGTACAAATAGAAGATTCTCTAAAACGGAGTTAGACAATTTGCTAATTAGAACGTCGATATTCAGAATAGAAATTTCTAGAATTTATATCTATTTAAGATATTCTTTGTCTCTTTTGGTCGTAAGTTATCAAAGCAAATGATGCTTAATGACTTAAAAAATTCTTGAGAAAGAATACAAGTATTCTTTTATCACTTATTACAATTTAATCAACTTTGTGACCTTGTGATCACCAATTTGACAAATCAGCCGTAGTTTTCGTGATTGAAAATTACCCAAAGTGGGGAATTCCAAGCAATAGTTTCATGTTCTTTGTGTATAGATTGCTATATAAAAACTGTTCGATATTGAAATTAAAATTAGAACAAGATTTATTTTGTTTAATTAAGCCGCAAAATGAAGCTCACATTTTCGTTTTTGTTAATCAATAAATCTGTTACTTAAATACCACATAATAATTATTTTATACAAATAAATTTATTCATTTGAGACAAAGATATCGTTTGTTAAGTGATTTATTTCAAAGGAGATTTGTAAACTATTGAAAAATCTGATTTTAAGGGGTTACATGGGTTTCGCGGTTTCAAAAATCGATTTTTTTTGTCTTATTAAATTCTACAACATCTCTAGAATATTGTCCCTAAGTTTCAAACCGATCCGAATAATAGTTTTAAAAAGTTGCGCGCTCAAGGCGCTGTTGTATTGTTACTCAAAACTTTAAACGCGTTTTTCTCAAAACTATGTTTTCAAAGACGGTTGTCAAGATTTCTCGAGAACTACTCAACCGATCTTGACAAAATTTTAGACAGGTCTTTGAGATATAATTTACAAGGTCTTGAACGAAGGATTTTTTTTTTCAATTACAACTATTTAAAAAAAAAAATCCCGCGAAATTTTAGCCAAATTTTTAATTTTTTTGTAAAAACCTCTGGCGAAAATCCAATTTTCATTTTTTTTTTTTCCTTCGTTCAAGACCTAGTTTGAAGTCTTAACTAAAGCACATATTTTTTTTTTTCACTTCTGATGATCCTGCTAGGAGTTCTGCTGTCCACGCGGACGCATCTTTTTTCCGAGGGCTCGCCGGAAATTACGTCACATTAGCAGAGTTTTTAATATTTTTTTTTCTAATTTCAGTAATCCCTTATTAAACATGTATCTTTAAGACAGTAAAAAGTTTGAATAAAATATTTCATTTTTTCTATTAAAAAAAAATTGTTGAAAACAATAATAAATGTTAAATTACAAAGAAGCGGGTAGAAGATATAACCCTCATTA